TATATATATATATATATATATATTATGAATGAAAACAAATAATAAATACGATGTTTTTTGAAATTTTGAAAAATTTATCGAATAAAATAGATAATTTCTACTAAAATAAATAATAATATACTAAATTTACTATTACAAAAAAATTTACTATTACAAAAAAAAAGATGCATTCAGTATATATTATTACTGCATGCAATATAGCATTACACGCATTTGGCTCTAATAAAAAGTATTTATTTGGTATTTATGTAGAGCCTGTTTTAAAAACATAACTGCGTATATATAAACAAATTATAGATAACTATAAATCTAAATACGTAAAGATATTTTTCTTTGTTTTTCTACAATTTTCTACATTTTTTTCTATTTTACTAATAACATTTACATTAAACTATTGTAATATATTATCAACTGCCATTAGTCTTATATATATAAACAATATACATATATAATGCTTTTGTCATATCATAAAAAATTATCTCGAGTACGTTCGAAACATTATTTGTTGATCTTACCTTAACAATTGTTTATTTTATTGATCCTTTTAAAATATACTTTTGTCATGAAATCGATAAAAGTATTTCAATGCTTTCTAGATGTTAGTACGAATTTCATTCTCGCATTGGGGGGCAGTCAATAATCTAGTTTACATTTTGTAAAAATAACGAATAATTTGCTAAATAAATATAACAAAGTGTATACACGTTAATAGATATAAAATCTAATAAAATCTAATTTGTGTCAGCATTTTTCAAATTGTGCATATGCGTTTTATAGCATGATGCAAAACACTTTGTTAAATGAAACACAATATAGATATATTTAAAAAATAATATGTGCAATAATCTATTTTTTTTTTTACGCGCGCGAACGGTCTCTTATGTCATTATAATTTAATTTTGTGATTTTTTTAGTACCAAATAAATTAAAATATATACTATCACTGAAATATAATATAAAATAAATTAATCAGACTCCATTTTAATATATTTTTTTAAAGATATTTACACAAACTTTAATAAAAGTAAATCGTTAAAGTAATATTTACTATTACTCTCCATTCATTTAACAATTCTCTAACAAATTCTGATATTGTGATTAACAATGGTACTATTTTAAATCAAAGTAAATCGGATATCAATTTATTTTCGCGAATGACCTGATTTTACTTTGGCTATGCATCATATATGCGTATATGTACGGATATATGTATATACGCATGTATAGGTATGTGAACATATGAAGGGATGTAAATATACATATATACTTAAACGCGCAGATAAAATTTTCTATCTATGGAACAAGTTCGGTTACATAATAAATTTGCATTTTCCTTTATATGCGGTTTCAAGAACAATTTTCGTTCAATGTTAATTTAATTTTCTATGTTAATATGTTTACTAAACATATTACGCAAACAATAATTATATATTTACAAGTACCAAACAAATATATTGAAGTTGAGTGTCTAACAAATATTATTTAAAAAGTTAAAAAAAAATATTTGACGAATTAATAAAAATTTTCTTTTTTTTTTCATGATTCTTTTTTGTCCAATTACTTTTATACACAAATTTTGTTTTATCTCATTTTATATTTTTTTCTTCGAACACGTAAAACATCGAATGTTACAATGAGACGTATAGGTACCAATGATGCAATATAGAAAGCATGGTTCTTTAAATTGAATGGCAGTGATAAAAAAATGGATTATCAACATCATGCGTTTAATTGTTCTTATCGCTAATAATATAGTGTATGTATACAGCTAGGTAAATTTTCGATGATATAAGTGAGTACTGATACTGTTTGTCCAAATTAAATTTTTATTAAACACGATTTCTTTCTGTAACATCGAGGACGAATTATAACATAAATAATTATTATTGATCAGTATCACTTTTTTGCGCTCAACAATGAGACTATTTTTTTAACACTGGAAGATAGTACGTTGGGGGCAGCGGCGGCGGCGGTATCTTTCCTCCATCTGCCAGTGCTTTTTCGTTTATTTTTATTTTTTTTTATTTTTTGCTTTTCATTCATTCTTCTTCACGCGTACTAACATTCATCGGTCTTCCTTTCTTTACTATACACACGTAACACACACATACATGCTTATTTGCATATCGATTTTACGTTCACTCACAACTATAAAAGGTTTTGGTATCCTATAATACCTAACCTAATCTAGTCTAAAAAATTTTAATTGTATTCTGTAAAGCATGGCGGGTGATATATACATCATACGGGTATAGTATATAATTATAGCAAATTTTTTTTTTTAAATTATCACTACTAGAGAAATAGGAATCTAGGAAGATAGGAAAAAGGAGGAACAGAGGTAATTGGCATAATATATTCATGTGCTGTTTTGCATTTTATCGAATGTGAAGTGAAAATCATTTTTATGCTCTCTGTAACTCTTCTTTTTTTTCGTTTTTTCCTTCGTTGCGGAAAGTCACCACCACCGCTCCCCGGCTCGCATTTGTATTTCACTTGTGTTATACGTTATAATTACGAATTTTTCAAAAGATTTTCAATTTTTCTTCTATTTTCATTATGCTTTTTATTCCATTTCTTTCTATTATCGTTGTTAAAAATTCAATTTCTAGTGACTATTTGATGAGAAAATCTTTTTTTTAATAATGTAATTTAATATAGGTGCATTTTCAAGCGAGGATTATAAACGATGAAAAGATACATTGAAGCATAAACTCATTCTATTTCTTGTTTCTTTTTTTTTCAATTAGATAAATTTAAAGGAATTCTCATTTTTTGATACACTATTATTGCAAGCTAAAACATTTTTAAACATTGAGTGTTTATATGTTTATTCTCTCCCGGAAATGCGCCTACACGTTGAGCTTTATTGTGTTTTAGATAGAAAATACTGCGCAGTCAATAAAATTTTAACAAGCGGGCGCAATGAATTTTTGTCCTCGATTGATGAGATGATATACATATTTATTATAAAGAGAGATAGTGGCCGATTAAATGAATAGTGGCCATGATGAATGAGAAGTTCATTGTCAGCTCCCATGACAGTGAACTTACCAAAATAATTTCATTTATATTAAATAACTCCATAATTATATTTATTTAAAAACTTCGTCCTGAAAGAAATGTAAAGTAATTAATTTTTTCTTTTTTTTTTTTTTTTTTACCCAAAAAATTTACCTTTGTTGCGGCATTATAAGCGCCCGCCCGCCTGTACTGACAAAACTTTTTTTGGAATGAACAAATTATTTTTTTTTACCATTATTATGTCGTAACTCCTTTTCTTAGGTAGACATACATCAGCAGGAACGTATAGAATTATTTTTTTGTGTTGCATCATCATACTTGTCACTTCATTAACATATATATTTATGCATATATATATATCTAATGTAATGTGAAATAAG